CAAGCAATGTCTGGGGCCTTGAGACGTCTACTACAGCTGCCATGTAAAGGAGCGCAAATTCGGGGTTGGATTTGTAGTGGGAGAGAGATTCCGTCGCCGAGTACTGTCGTTCACCCCGGTTCTTCAACATCTCGCTCATCAGCGCCCATGCACCGACGGAAGAGAAGGATGAGGCATCCAAGGTTCTCTTCTATGAGCCGCGGCGAAACGTCCGACAACGGATTGAGGCTGATCGACTTCGCCGGAGCCCGCAACATGGTAGTATGCAGTACTAAGCTCAAGCATAAAGAGATCTATCAAGCTACGTGGCTGTTTCCAGATCGAAAAATGAGAAACCAAATCGATCATGTTGTGATAGACGGAAGGCACGCTTCCAATGTTTTAGACGTACGCACACTCCGAGGCCCAAACATCGACTCGGACCACTATCTTGTTGCAGCCAAGATATGCACCCTCGTGCAGCAAAAAAGTGCGCCCAAATATGCAAGGAAAGCTTAACGTCGAAAAGCTGCAATCACAACACACAGCCAGTGCTTTCGCTACTCGACTCTCACACCTGCTCTCAGAGAGCACTCTTCAACAAACCGTCATATACGAGCAGTGGAACCACATTTCCCGCTCATTAAGTACCGCCGCTGAAGTAGTAGTTGGATTTCAGCGAGCCCGAAAGAACAACTGGTACGATGAGGAGTGTCAGGAAGCTGCAGAGAAAAATAAAGGCGCCTACAGGGTCACGCTGTGATCGGGCGCAACGCGCGCTATGTGGGACCGCTATCGGGATCTGAAGAGGTAAGCGAAACGTATTTGCCGCAATAAGAAGAGAGAGGCCGAAATACGTGAGTGCGAAGAGCTTGAAATGCTGGCCGACAGGAAGATGCCCGAAAATTTTACCAAAGAGTTAGGCGACTTACGGATGGTTTCAAGACCAGGGCGTGCTCCTGTAAGGACAACAATGGCTACCTAGTAACCGATGTTCAGAGCGTACTTAAATTATGGAGAAAACACTTATCCGCCCTACGGAATTGTAGCAGTACGGAAAGTTGTGGAGAAGATGAACCCGAGCATTATTATTATTTAAAATATATTGTTAATTAAACTAAGGATAGCATATTACTCTAAAATATAAGTGAAAAGTGGCGTTTTAAACAAAATTTTGGTGATAGTAGTCGGGATATTTTAACAACAAGTA